ATATATATATATGTATATACATGTATACATACATACATACATACATATATATACATACATACATACATACACACACACACACACACATATATATATATATAGAGGTAGATAGATGAGTGATTGCATTTTCGATGTGTGTTTTTGTGTATGTATGTGTATACATGTATTGGATATATGTTCAAATTGAACACTGAAGGTCGAGTAATCTACGGTTGCGTTGGTAAACTATGCTTCAGCAAGTATTCCGACCAAATTATATTCGAACAGAAAGTAGAAGAGACATACCAATACCAGCGTGTATCCAGAGAAATCAGGAACATCGTCGCAATGTACAAATATTGAATTGCAGCTCTGCTGCTGCATTCTGGCTGTGGTTGGTTTAGTTGGACCTGTGATACACGTTCTAGGTTATAGTGGCAATGTACGGATGTGTACGATATTATTAGTACGCTGTATTTATTTTTATATTTACATACTCACGAAATGTGAAGGCAAAATTATAGGAACACTGAAGTGAAGTGTGTCAAGGTGTCAAATCCACACACCCGATTCATATATGCACGGCCCTCTGGATTAGGGTCGTGAGCAGAAAAACCAGGTTTTTTCCGACGACAAATCGTAAATTTAAATAGCAGAGACCCTAATCCAGAGGGCCATGATTTATGACACCCCTGCGTGCAGATATTTTTTTTGCAAAATAAAGTGAAAATATTGTTATCAGCCAGATCAGTAGGCTGAAAGGCTGCTAAGTACGTACATATGCCAATGAATAGGGGCAAGTAAGACCTCACTCTGCAAGTTTAATACAACTGACAGTGCCAGCGGTTGCGTTGACAATGAGCATGAAACTAGCTGTCGTTGCATCCATTGCGGTAGCATGTGTCTGTTTCCGCAGCCACGTACCATTGACATGGCACGCAGAGATATTGTACGAGGTATGAAATACTAAGCCTTGTTTGTTCGTTATACTTGCATGAATAGTACAGTTGGATATAGTATGAATACTAAGCCTTGTTTGTTCGTTATACTTGCATGAATAGTTGGATATAGTACGAATACTAAGCCTTGTTTGTTCGTTATACTTGCATGAATAGTACAGTTGGATATAGTATGAATACATAGCCTCATTTGTTAATTATACTTGCATGAATAGTGCAGTTGGATAAGTCCGTTCAGCTACTCTCGCAGATATCAGCTATCGTATCATTGGTGTGGCACGCAGATAAACTATAAGAGATACGAATATCGAGTCTTCGTCTTTGATGTTGCATGCGTGCACCCTATATTTGGAAAAACTGCTTTCAAATCTACTGGCTGCTATTTATCATATCGCACACAGAGGCACATGGTCCGATATATAAAATGGATAGTCGAATCTTGGGTTCTTTCCATCTGTATATTTTTCGTTATAACACAGTAGCAAAAAGTATAACAGGGAAAATACACGCAGAGGCAAGGTCAGAAGTGTGAGGCGAGTGAGTAACGTGGTCATATATATATATATATATAAATATTTAAGCATACACACACACACACACACACACACACACACACACACACACACACACACACACACACACACACACACACACACAAACACACACACACACACACACACACACACACACACACACACACACACACACACACACACACACACACACATAA